TGCTGTAGCAGTTTGTATCTAGGCCATATATCTTATTTACCGGTCTCTTATGTCATTTTCCCCCAGATAATAGGATGCTGTAGCAGTTTGTATCTAGGCTATATATCTTGTTTACCGGTCTCTTATGTCGTTTTCCCCCAGATAATAGGATGCTGTAGCAGTTTGTATCTAGGCTATATATCTTGTTTACCGGTCTCTTATGTCATTTCCCCCCAGATAATAGGATGCTGTAGCAGTTTGTATCTAGGCTATATATCTTATTTACCGGTCTCTTATGTCATTTCCCCCCCAGAAAAATCACGGGAAGGAGTTTTTGAAATCAAAAGGGGCGTGGCTCTATATAATCACGTGATAAGCGAAGTCACTTCCCTCACCGACATGGACTGTGCCTTGCAATGCTTGCACACACAAGACTGCAAATCCACCAATTATTACTCAAGTTTCTCGCCGAGCTTTTGCCAGCTAAACAATGCTGTAATGGAAGACTTTTCTGATGATGTGATCGAAGAAGAGGATGCAGCATATTATGTTAAGCTCTAGAGGTTTTACGTGAGAGTGGCTAGATGACAGAACGATTGAATCGCTTTGCATTCTTAAATATTTTAGATTATCTATTTCTTTGCATGTTGCTCAAAGTACGGAATGCTCCGTCACTTAAAGGGAAAGGTAAGGACTTTGTTGTACTTTGGTGGTTCGTTCATTTACTAATGCTGACTATCTCGAAGTCGACGTTGTTCAGTATACACTTATTTCAATAAAGCCGGGGTCACCTGAAAAGCTATAAAGCTGAGGCCGACAAGGATTATGGGTAAATTCATTTTACAAGTTTAACTGCTTGACTAACTGTTCATGGACTTGCGAATCTTTTACCGGTTACAGTCTCACCTCTTCTGAGCATGATCGAGCTGCAGTTTGTATTAAAAAAGCTTTGTATATATATGCTTTTTTGATATGAAAAGTTTCCCATGATGCTCAGTGATCTCAGCTTTCTAGGTTTTTGGTGACTAACTTTATTGAAATAAGTGTATTTTAAAAGTACTTAACTGAAGCTAGGTGGCCCTTTGCATAAGTTAACAGTCACGTACTGATATATGATATCAATCATTTCAGCCCAAGGGTTCCTTGACTGAAGGCTGTGCTGGTTGGCAAACAAGCGAGAAAATGCTTCTTGACATCAAAATGATTATGAGGGAAAAATAGCTTTTTTTGAAAACGATTTTGGACATGACATTAGTAATCCTGTTGCGAGCCAGTAGCACTCACGTGACTATGTCTTGCAATCCCGAGGTTGAGGGGGAAAAAACTGGGTCGAGTTGGAATTGCAGCACATTGTTGAACTGTTTTATAGGACTAAATCGAGACGCCATTTTGAAAATTTGTCCCCTAAAACAGAACCAGATTTTGAATAATCGCTGATGTGAGATCACTTGGAATTGGAGTTTGGATCTCTCTCTTTGTACATGCGCCTGTAGTCAATCAACACAGCAGTATCCCGCGAATTCTACGTTTTTTTATTATTCATTATAATTTTTTTTGAATTTTTATCAATGACAAATATTCTCTAGAATAAATTCTTACTTGACAGCAAATTCACTGTACAATTGTAATTTCAATACTTTTATCTCTTATTCTCATCGAATTTGAATCAAAGAATTCGTAAATATCTTTCGCTTTTTTAGAAACTTTTTCGTAAAAATTTGGATCATCACAATCTATATTGGGTCAGTACTTCATGCATGCAATAACTAATGCTCCTAGTTTCATGACTTTAAGCATGACCAACTACATTAATAAAGCACTAAAATATGCAATTTAGTAATATAATATTGCTTGTTTTAAACTCTTAATGCATTGATTTCCAGACAGAGACTTAGGTCACCACGGGCAATATTTCCACAGACAACCCATCATGAAAAACTCCAAAATAGTCCCTTAATTCAACTTAGTACCATCTCGAAGTACCATATACTATTTTGTTAATAACGATAAGATTCTTATTCGACTTTGATATGGCGAATACAGAACTAATAATTACGTCACCAAGCCACTAGATATTACGTCATCAATAATGACGTCACGAAGCGATTTTATGTTATGATCAATATTGTAAATATTCAAATGTTATCACATTGAAATTAAACCCAGGTTTAGCACGTGATTATGTTGACCAGGCATGCGTAGTTGATACTTTTACGGGGACGCGGTTTTGAGGATTTTTTGATGCTTTTAGATATCTAGAAATAAATTGTTCAATATTAGTTCGCCTAAAACGGACAAATTGTCGTTTTCATCACCGTGAAGACCATCATTATCATTATCATCATCACCATGACATGATGATGATGATAATGGTGATGATGATAAATGAAAGTGAAGTTGATGGTCATGCTGGCGATGATGATGGTGATGATGATGATCAAGGAGTATTGTTTAAATAAACGTACCTATCATTGTTGAATCTTAATCATTTCACTTAAAAATGGCTGTGTTTCACAGCTGGTAATCARCTGATTGTAGGCCGAGCCGGGTGTAGCGACTGACTTGAACGTCGACAGGAAGAATTGTTTTTGTGTTTCATCAAGATTCTGCAAAACATACAACAATATTTGACAAGTTAGACATGGTATATTATAGATTAAAAAAAACTTTACCAGTGTCTTAGAGGTGGTAGGGTTGAGCTCAAACCATGCAGTCCCGTGTTTTAGTGAGATGCTCTGTAACCGGGTCACAGGAAACTCATGGCGAGAGCTGGTATAACTAATACAAGAACGCGGTCAAACGCCAACCTAAGTGCAGCCTTACTTGTAATGTGAATTAGCACAATATTTCTTGTCATTCTACTGATTCTATTATTACATGAAAGATTCTTACTTTACTGACCTGATTGGTGTAAAAGTCAATTGCAGCAGCACAGAAATATTTGTGGTCGATTTCTTCTAATTGATTTATTCGTCCCAATATGTGTGGGAATCTTGAATAATGGTTAAGAAATACGACTACATAAGATTGATCAGTAGTTTGTTTTATTATCTTTTTCGAGTGCAAAGACTAAAAGTGTCTGTGTACTGCCTGGTATTGCATGCATCGCGGCTGCAAACGTTTTGGATTTCACAAAAACTATTTTTTTGTATCACTTGAATGCATATACTGAATAATAAAGCATTATCCCGGTGCATAAAAGGATACAATGCTCTGATCCATTTGTTGGTCGAAGCACTAATAAAAAAGCACGTTAGACTCCAAATAGCCATTGAAAGAGGTGTTCTGCAACAAACAGTGGTGAAAATCATTAGTTGAAGTATGGTTAATTAAAAAATCAATGCTTTTTAAAAGGTATTAGGCACACTTCAGTCAACGCAAAACACAGCACCATTATGCAACCAATAAGTATCAATAACGTAATGTTATTGATTAAGAAATCAAATAAATACCTTTGAATAAAACTGGCTAAAGAGAGTACGACCCAGTCTCTCACTTCCACATTCTGTCCTTGGCTGTGAAGTCCCTCAAATACCTATGTAAAAGATATAAATCTTTAGCCTAATGACTTTAAATCCTCGGATCAATCTTTGAGCAAAGCTGTGGTGTTCTACAGAATTTATACTGGGCCCTCCACCGCCATACAAAAAAGGTAAAGGTAAAGTACCTATATTTAACATCGGTAGTTCCTTCAGTTGAAATTAAATAAGCATAAGCAATATATTTTATTATCTTGAGTTTAGGGATTTTTAAAAGGTAAAACTGTGGCGTTCTACATAGACTCATACTCGGCCCACAAGCAACATACCTTAAAAAGTACCTCTGCCATGAGTTCAGGGTACGGCTGCTGACTTGATAAAAACTCTCCAATAACTTTGTTCATGATTTCTTGTGCGGGAAAGAAGTCGAGAAGCAAGCGAGGAAGAACACGCGCTACGATTTGTGCTTCTGAAGGAAATCCCTTTCGTATCCTAGCAGCGACGTCAAACAATATTACATCATTATCAAGTCACGCGGACGCACGCGGTGAAATATGTTAGTTGTAGCGAAATTATAAAGCACTATAAGAAACAGTTGTTTATCGATTACCGGTCAAACAATACGGTGACTCTTTCCATGGCGATGAGTAATCGATCTTCTGTCGGAAATTCGGTTGTATCGGGTTGAGGGTAAATGCCACTTGGCCGATCACCTATCTTGCCTGGGGAAAAAGTAAACATGTGAATGACTCGTAATAGGTTGGTGCCCCTGAGTGGACTCAAATGACTTGACGCCTTCGATACGTATTGAAAGTTTTTTCCCCCGATACACTATATTATACAAAGCTACTTATCAAACTTCTTAATAGACTTTCCCCTGAATTCACTTGACCACGTAACCACGTAACAACGGCTCTAGGTCAAGGTTAGACTTGATAAAATACAAATATGTATAAATACTTTAGGGTCAATTGAAGCCCGGCAATGTTTCGTGATCGCTTTTGGAAAAGGTCTCGTGGCATACCTGTGTACATGCAAGTCACGAGAAGTCCCAACGCTAAAATCGATCTTTGAGGGTTCTGCATTGACAATCTAGAGACAGAGTAATAAAACTAATATTACATTCTCGTTGTGATGTTAAAGCATTTGCAAGCAGTCATGCGCATTTCATTACGCAACTCGGCCCAGGGCATTTGGAGGCAAATCCAATATGGCTGCCTATCTGGGTTTCTTCCCTTCATTTTAATCAAAAATTTGGTTTCTGAAGAATAGATGTTAAAAGGATCACAGTCGTCTGGAAATACGAATTCTCTGCCCTTTCCGCACTGACTCTAGAAACCAAAGTTTTAAATGTTTTTTGTGTAGTCGTGCCTACCTGTCGACACTAAGTTTGACTAGTGAATCGCTTTCTGAAGAAGACAAAGCAAATGACACCACAAGTCGTTCCAGTCCCCTCATGATAGCATGGTACACAGCTGGCGGAGTGCTTTCCTCATTGGAAGATGCTATACGAACAGCGACCTGGGGAAGAGAGATTCGTGTAGCAGTCTCAAGTTTTGATGATGCAGTATAATTATAGATCATTTCAAAATTCGCTTGTGCGACCACGAAAGCTAAATGAATGGCTTTTAGTTGAGGTTGGACTTGGCGTGATCATTATTACGTCAAGTCCATAATCTCGACTTGGAGCCATTCATTTCGTGGTCACTCAAGCGAATTTCGGGGCAGACAAATGAGATTTGTGCATACCTTGAGTATGTTGGCTTTGAATTCTGCATCTGGGATTTCATCATTGTAATGTTCAATTAGGTAAAATACGGTGGACCACATAACAAGAAGATGCTGTTGGGCCAGCATTACAGCACTGAAAAACAATATCAACAAAATAATTAAGTTCATCAAATAGTTGTTTAAATTGGCCACCATTCTGTGATACAGAATAATAACACTGGTAAGCTACTGGTAGGTTTTTATGGAAGAAAAGATGAAAGGAACTGATCAGAAATGCGTGGCTTACTTTGGAAGTGTATTCAGTTTTCGTCCAAGATGCTCGGTCAGGATGGGTATTAACAGAGACACCACAGTGGGCACGTGTGATTCGAGGATGTACAAGGATCCATATAATGCTGACATCTAGAGAAATAGACAGAACATGAAGCAAAATCTCTCGACCAGCAAAAGAAAACTAAATGAAAGGACACAAAGGAAAGGATAGGGTAGGGAGAGGTTATGAAGTTTAAGAAGTGGGTGGCGAATCAAGGAAACCAGGGCCACTGCAAAACACTGGCAAAGCGGTTGGCAACAGTGGAAAACACTTGCCTGTCAACTCTAGGAATTCTCAGGTTCGATTCCAATCCTAGACTCGACATAACGTGTGCAGCGCCTTAGATCTTTCAAGATTTGAGGATTTTTCTTGGTTTACGGTTCTCCTCCCTGCGCAAAACATGCTAGATTTCAATTCGACAGTAAGTTAGCCTTGTCTTCACTTTGATTAGCCCAGAGGACTTTTTATATAAGCAAACGAGAGACAGAAAGGGAATAAATGGAATGAGAAAAAAGAAAAAACAAAGGACCACAGTCGTGTAGCCTTGTCTTCACTTTGATTAGCCCAGAGGACTTTTTATATAAGCAAACGAGAGACAGAAAGGGAATAAATGGAGTGAGAAAAAAAAAGAGAAGAAAGGACCACAGTCGTGTATTTTACCTGAAGGGGAACATGTGGACTTCGTAAAGACGTTTCCACAATCTTGAACACTTTTTCAGAAGTTTGTCCCTCCTAACACAAGAATACAAAGCCAATGGGTCAATACCGTGTCTCTTTTCATCATATATCACAGATATAATGATAAAATGACAAAGTCACAACGATATACGCACGCACCCAAGTACATAGTTAGAGAATATATACATCCTTTCTCTCGGGGAAATTTTTTTTACCGCATTTGGTTATGTGCTGCTAAACATAGAGTTAATAACTTTGCATCACTGATATTACACTGAAATTTTATAAACTGAACTTACAATTTTTAAGAAAGCCAGTGCTTTGCAGATGACAGGTAAGGAGTACTGAATTAGTAGGTCATCTTCTGATGGGTGATTCTGGTGAAGTTCAAGCAGCGTGTCTAGGATCCATTCAAAGTGATGACCATCGATGAACAGATCAGAAAACACTACCAACTTAAAAAGGGTACAATCAAATGGTTACAATCATTGAATGGTATATATATATATGTTATTTACCGGACAGGAGGTCCGGATAGGGAAAAACTGTGCCCGAGGTCTTGAATATACAGACCACCAAGGGCACAGTTTTTCCCTATCCGGACCGACTATAGGACGGTAAATAACTTTTTTTTTCCCCGTATTTTTTTAACTTGTTTTTGTGATCGTTTTGTGTTATCGTTTAGCGGCAAAGGATACCGGACCGCGCGCGCGGGGAGATACTGACAAAATACCGCCCGCTCAAACAGCCAATCAGAACGCAAATAAATACTCTTATTACTAGAGATAGTAATAATATATTTAAAAAGGTGGATTTCTGTTAATAGTCAGAATTCGGCTAGCGATCAAACAGGTACCTAAAACGAGGAACATAAGGAACATACATTAATTAGACTTCACCAATAAAAAGCTTAACTTTGATTTGCAGCAATCATTTATTTCGTCTTATCGACGCTTGATACTCGCCATAGTTGCTCTTTTGACAATTGTGCATCCGCATTCTTTTTTTTTTTTGTCTTTTTTTTCTTTTTCTTTTCTTTTCTTTTCTTTTTTTTTTTTTTGATTTCAAAGTCGTCGTGGAAGCGAGAAGACGGGCCACTGGTACGCAAAACACTGGCAAAACCGTTGACAACAGATATTTGCAATTTGCCCAGATATTTTGAAAATTGCCATAAAGACTGGATCCAGACTGCAATGGCGAAAACACGTTGCGCCCAAACACATGGTGGACTCACCGCTTTAGTAGCTTCAGACAAAAGCATGAGAGGAGTCCTGGGCTGAACATAAGGTGACATCCACTGTTCAAAAAGCTCCAGTAAAAATTGTAGACAAGAACGAATATCAAGTTTTTCTGGTTTGGCCATGCGAGGAATGGTAACGACGATGGCTGCGTCGTCGTCACTGTCAGGATACTCTTGTAGTTGGGCTTGAGCTTGGCTGTGCAGGCCCAACAGAGAAATCTGTCGACGAGAAAGAAGACAAACTGTTTTTTTTTTGCAATGAAAAAGACTAGAAATTTTTTTGGAATGTCAAACCCTGTCAAAAGGGACACCGAAGAAACAAAAGAAACTGCCTGCACAAAGGTGGTCTGTTATCAGTGACTGAATTCGTCCAAACAAGGGTCCATATTAAGTGGGTGCTCCTTACGGAAGCTCGAGCCAGCCATCTATATTTTGGATTCTCTAGATGAAAAATGTAGAATTCTCGAGAACAAGGCAATATTGAAATGATACAATCTCCAAGGATTAATCTCGAACGCTCTAAATCCCCTTACTTGTCCAAGCGTGTAGTCATGGAAACCAAGTATCCTGTCTACGTTCAGTCCGTACAGCGGATTGTCGAATACGAGCTTGTTACTAGTCCACACGGCAGTGTTTCCGTGATTAGAGACAAAACTATTCGATCGATGGAAGCTCGCGGAATGTTCATGTTTGACGTCTTCTTTTGTTAAGTACGCTTTACCAGTCCTAAAAATATGGAAAAACACTAATTTCAGTCAAGTTGGCCTTCACAAATTTATAAAGGCAGAAAATTACGGGTACTTCTGTTTCTGGCAGGCCTTTTACTGAGTTCGACAAACGAGGCGTATTCTGGGCTACCTATGGTACAAAAAAAACACCATATAAAGCTTGATGAACAAAAGCTGTCTGTACCTAAGCTTGATCAAGATGCACCACGGAAACTAACTTAGAAAAGACCTATGATCTGAGTTCAAAAGCGTTGGCTCTTACAAGGAGTTTTTAACACTTCTGGTAAAGAGAAAAGCAAGTCAATGATAAAGCTAAGGAAGTGCAAATTGAAGGCATGCGTCCCTTCTACAGTGGATAAAAAAGACGGAAGACATAGCCGCCATGTTGCTTGATATAACTAAAGAAACCAATATCAAATATCTCAGTGGTAAAGTCAACCTAAGTCTCACCCTGTGCAGCAATTATTTACAAACTCTTCTTCCACGAGCCCGCGTACTACAGATAACTTCTTTCCAGCCCTGTAAAATAGAAAGGATAAATCAGGACACCAAACTGAAAAAATCCCGAAACAGATAAAACAGCACCGTAACAGATCGATGTCTACCTAGGATGCAGTCAGGAAGAAAAACAGATAACCCGGAGAAAAACCCTGAAACATAAGAGCCGAACCTTGCAACAAGTAATACTGACAAATGATCATATATGGATAGCATTCTGGTAGTAAAGTGACACTATTATGTAAATGTAATTGTCAATGAGTAGTTTTTCAGAAGTTTCTACCTGCTACCAAGGAAAGGCAAATCCCGGTGTCTTGGGCTGTGTAGGTATCCCCCAACGTTACAGTTACCGGGGGTCGGGTACAGGGTAGTCTGGAGAAGAAGCGCTGAAATGCAACGGACTGCTAGACAACAAGAATGGCTGGCTTCCATGTCCTCCTAAAGATTAACGAGAATTTATAGGTTATAGAATAAATGTGCAACGACAATTGATGTATTAGGATATTACGTTTTGCACAAATTTCTGTGCCAAAAACTGAAAACAAACGTCTTCCAGGGTCTTATAATTTTTCTTGCGCTTGCGCTTGCGTTTGTGTTGCTTGTGTGAACCAGTCTTTAAACCTTATTCAAAGTAAGTATTCTGGATAAGGTTTATATCCATGCAGGAAAACTAATAGTAGTCATGTGTTCGTACCTCTTGTGAGACTTGTTCAGGAAGTGGTGGCGAGCTAAGAACACCGAGTAACGCTGCCCACGTCTCTTCGAACTGCTGCCTGTTAATCCAGCCTTTAATACAACAACAGTTTATAATTGAATCAGTAACTCTCTGTGTTGATTTTGCTTCTGGTAAAAGGAAAACTGAGAAATACTTGTACTAGTTTTTATTCGTTTTCTGGGATAAGGTAGGACAGCTAAATTGGTGTCATAGATCAGTATATCCTGTAGAACCATTCCAATGTACACTAACATGATCACATGGCACAAGCACAATTGGGGACTAGCAACATTTGGACACGCCCATGTATGCCACTATTTGAACGCAGTCACATTAAGAGAATATTGGATTGGAACGGATATTCTTCCTTAATGACAAAAGAATATACAAGAGGAGTAGTAGTGAATAAAAAAATTTTATCTTCTCTCCAGAAAAAAATTCTTTCTCAAGTAAAAGGACTTTACTGTTCCTGTCTTTCGCCATGCTACATCCTCTAATGTTATCAAACGAAGCCTATGAAGCCTACCTAAGATATTGACTCTCATAACAAATTCATTCAGAACATCTTTTTCTTTAAGGATCTCTATTGGTAAAGGTGGCAATTCTGTTTTTAGGGGTCCCTCAGGTGTCGGCATCCATCCTAGCTTCCAAACAAGAGGAGGTGTTCGTGCATAGCTGTTGACCAACGGTCGTCTAGCCAAGCCTACGATTGCCAGAGTGAAAGGCTCGTAAAGAAACTGGGGGAGGACTGAGAACGATTGGGACCCAGGCCTAAGGTATGTGTAGGTGTAGTTGACAAGGTCTGATATTTGGTCACAGGCTAAGGTGATGGACTGAAATTCTGAGGAAGCAACCACAGTAAATATAAGGTGAAAACATTCACTAGATTTTCTTGTCTTCTTTTCGTTGTCGTTCTACGAGGATGTTCTTAATTCAGTTATTGATGGGATACAACTGTGTTTTTATGAAGTATGTAAGGTGTAATGGCTTACCCCAGAGAGGCCTGTAATTCAAGTTTCATAAGTCATCAGGTCATGAACCCTGTTTCTATCAGTCATACGTTCGGTCAATAACTTGGTCTGTCTGTCCGTTTGTCTTACTATTTGTCTCACTGCCTAATTGCAAATACACTCACCATCTTCTCTGTCGGCACAGGGGCGACGATCTTCATCTGATATTTCATGACTTAACTTTTCAGTCCCGTTGACAGACACTAGAAGAAAAAAGTTCAATTGAGGGAGTTAAATATGAAGGTGAACAAGTTATCTGTAGTTCTTGGACTGGAATTGAATTTAGTACTTTAATATTTTTGTGGGTGTTTTCTTTTTGTTTGGGTGGGGGGGGGGGGAGGGGAGGGGGAAGTCGTATGGTACTGTAATAGCTTTGAATATGTTCGTCTTACCTGCTTTAATCAAAGTATAGACATGGTTGATGGCTTGACAAACTAATGTTACGTACTCCACTTCATTGACACTCTGGTCGTACTCCAGTAGAAGAAGCTGAGGATAGAAAAGAAGTGAAAACAATGGAATAACAACAACAGCACACAAGGGCAACGGAGCACTTTAGAATGAGACTGAAAGTCAGGAGGCTGAGTAGTGAGACATGAAAATTTAAAGGATGTTCAAACAAACAGTAGAAAGCTGAAGCCTCTCGCTTCCGTAGTCCCTTCAGCACCAGCTGCATCGGTAAAAACAAACTCTTACTGAAAAACTACAGTAAACAATAAAATGAGTTTGAAAAACGATAGATTGTTTTTATACGACGCACAATTATAAGCAACGATTTTAGAACCTTGACCATTTTTCAATTACACATGACGTCGGCGGCCATATATTGGATAGAGCAATAGATTTCTATTATTCCTTATAACCTTTTATCTTATACAAAGGTTTTTATTTTGATGGGAATGAACATGGCTGCCTACGGCTTACCTTGCCGATACAAGTTAATGCTATCTTCATTTCCACAGTGTTTGGAGGAATACCGCTGACCAGTTTGTGATGTACGATCTAAATGACATAAATATGTTTCAATTAGCCGTTCCGAGATTGAGGACAAAACGAGTCTGCATTACAGTGCATTGTGGGGCTGTTTTAGAGTAGAAAATAGCCGCCATCATTGATTGCCTCAAAACTTTATCGGATACATTAGAAATGACGCTATATAAATTGATTCTTATTATTATATAATACTCACCGCTAGGGGAAGAAAGATGAATCTACAAAGACAACAAATTTCATCTGCGTTTAAGACACACTGCCGAGGAAGCGAGCTGACGACACTACAATACGATACAATCCCACGAGCGAGGTCTAGGATACGGCTACACCATTGTGTATCTTTACAAAGAAAAGCAAAACTGTCTTTGTCGATGATTATGCGAGAAGATGAGTTGCCCTCTTCTTGAGCTAAATAGGATAAAATAAAATAAATTAAAACAGGATAGGACCGAGGAGCAAAGTTTTGAGTTTCGCCGGTGCTGGTGGCTGTGATGGTGGTGGTGGTGGTGCCAGGGGTAATGCCAGTCACGCTTATGGCATGCCTCGCCCTTGTTTCATAATCTTGTGACGGGAAAGACTGAGAAGAAATTAAAGTGCCTAACTGTTACCTAGGATACAGATCGCCATAGTTACCTTCACATGGAACGTTGGTCACGACTTCTTGCACCACGTGGTACATATGCCTAAATATGGTTAGTTTGGCTGCTAATAATAAATGGTCCACTCCAGTACTCTCGAAGTGTTCAGTGTTGTCGTAGAGCTTAATGACAGTTTCCTGTAATGAAAAAAAATAGATATTGAACATTTAAGTACCTTGTAGGAAAAGGTGGAACAGGAAAAGAATGAGCACGTGACTTACCTCTACGCTCAGTCTTCTGGAGGTGAACTGAAGTGTTCTTTCGACACCGACTAGAATGCAGTCTTCGAGAAGACCAACGTCGAATTCCTGTAAATAGTATTATACAGTAACACATCAAATACTATAGGAAAAAAACATTACGAAAAACATGGGGGGAGGGGGGGGGGAGGAATAAAACAAGCAAGTGATCTATATTGGAAACTGTAAAAATAACAGCAGCAGCAACGATAACAATAGTATCGACAACGACTGAGCCAATGGAAGCCATAACAACTTTTTTTATTTTCTTCCTCACTCACTAATTTGTTCACCCATTAACTGACTGACCGACTGACCAATATACCGACTGACTGACCGACTGACCAACTCACCAACTGACTGACCGACTGACCAACTCACCGACTGACTGACCGACTGACTGACTCACCTACTGACCAACTCACCGACTGACTGACTGACTGACTGACTGACCGACCGACCGACCGACCGACCGACCGACTGACCGATTCACAACAACTAATACAGTAATCTTTAATAAAAAGGTGGCTGCTCACCTCTTGACTCATAATATTACAAACAGAGCTAAAGTTCAAAGCGCTTAAAAGGAGAATGGATTCTTGTGCATTTCTTGCCCGCAGTACACTGGGGTCAGGGTTGGCCGTGGAGCAGCAGTGGGATGCCAGACGAGAGAACCACTCCTAAAACACCAAATATTTGATTAGAGCGATGGTACTTAATCCGTGAAATAAAAACAAAATAGTTATTAACTAATAGTCGCAATTGGCACTAGATTGCTGATCTAGCAATAATTATTCTCTGATATATGCATTTGAGATACACAGTTGATATGAATCGAACCACAATAGGCACCATCATCACCTACCAATAAACCTACCCACAATACGCACCATCATCACCTACCAATAAACCTACCCACAATAGGTACCACCATCACCTACCAATAAACCTACCCACAATACGCACCACCATCACCTACCGATAAACCTGCCCACAATAGGCACCACAATCACCTACCAATAAACCTACCCACAATACGCACCACCATCACCTACCAATAAACCTACCCACAATANATCACCTACCAATAAACCTACCCACAATACGCACCACCATCACCTACCAATAAACCTACCCACAATAGGCACCACCATCACCTACCCATAAGCCTACCCACAATAGGCACCACCACCACCTACCCATAAACCTACCCACAATAGGCACCACCATCACCTACCCATAAACCTACCCACAATAGGCACCACCATNATAAACCTACCCACAATAGGCACCACCATCACCTACCCATAAACCTACCCACAATAGGCACCACCATCACCTACCGATAAACGTACTTACCTGATCAATAACGTAGTTTTTCATTGACGTAACTAGATGTGTGGTACTTGTAACCTGTTCGGTAGTCTGTGTGCGTGGAGAAGATGCTAAAATGTGATGAACCAGTGAACAAAGCCGAGGATTTCTAAAAATACAAAACAATGAACCGCAAGTCAGGAGTAAGAACAACTACGTATTATAGGATTATGGAAGATTTGCGTTAGGGAATCGAATAATGGAGTTGGAGTGGAAGTGGAAGTGGGAGACTTGGCATCACGTGTGAGTAGTGTTTGTTACGTCTCTTACTTGATTCAAGAGTTTTTCTCAGAGTTCTCCAGTTTACCTTCCTCCGCAAAACCTAACTTCGAATTCGATCTTTGAGTTAGCCGTATACTGACTTTGATCAGCCGCCAAGAGGTTGTTTCAAGGTATCGATAAAACTAGAAGCCTTTTCTACGCTGCCTCGGCAAAATTCGAAAGCATCGTCTTCTTAAAAACAAGGTTTCTCGACACTCACCTTTGTATCTGTTTCTTGGATGCCATCAGGTGACAGACAGCTATAAGTTCTTCTGTAGAAGTTTCGTTTTTGGGATCCTGAAGTAACAAATATAGCAACAATCGCAGTTTGCCATGGATCATAACAGTCAACGCCCAACACGCCAAAGAATCACGTGATCATTTGGCATGTGATCATCGTCTGGTATATTTAATGTCAAATATGGATATTTTCAAAAGCAGTTTACACACATATTGAGCTCACTAAATGCTTTCTAGAGAAAATATTTTTCATCAGTGTTATAACCTGTGACTAGCATTATTTCAATGGCACTTGCCATCTACTGGGTCGTTGACAAACATTCCCTAGTAATTCAAGACATTGCAACCTTATTTATATGTTTAAACACCACCAACATGGCTGCCTGCCATGCCTTCCAGTGCAAACGTAATGTAATTTTCTATGGTCAAGTAAGCAGTTAGTATATAGCTCAGGTTGGCTTATGAAGGTTTCCTTAAATATTTGCTTGTCTTCTTAAAGCTGTCACATGAGTAGACATTCGAAATGACTTCTTGGGCTACGTGTGGTTAACGGAAGACCAACCTACCTTCAGACGAGAGATTTCTATCTCCAGCCGTTTACAAATGTTGCTCTCCACCAGTCGTGTGATGGAACGGCAATCGGAATCGAGGAAAAAGTCCGCAAGGATTTTGAGAAGAAGGCAGGTTTGTGAACTGTGTACGTTCGCCAGGCACTGGACTAAATGTTTGGTGTAGGGTATCTGGGGAAAAAAAAGATATTTACTCATTTTATTTGACTCTGACTTTCATGTGACGTCATGAACGCCATGTTGGATAGCTTGCGCTATCAGCCAGCGAATGAATGTCATAAATCTCATTAAAAGCCTTCAGTGAAGAGCAATCTTTGCCTTCCATGCTTGATTGACCACTTGCCATTTGGCTGGGCCCGGAGCGAACTAAGGGTGGATAGCGCTATCCGGCGGATAACTCCTTATCCAATGAATAAAGTAATGCTGTTATCCAATAAATTTATCCGCTGGATAAGATTTATCCGTCGGGTAGCACTATTCACCTTCGTACAATCGGGCCCTGGTTAAGATTCTCGAGGCCGGAAATGACGTCTATTAGTAGAAGCCTTATCAAACGATCCCCATGGTAACCATGTCATTTGTCATTGCTTCTTTAACACATTCTAAGCTCTCCTACAAAACTTACATCTCTTTTTTGTCTTTCTTTTTGTAGAGCATGACCAGAGATGAATGTTTCCATTAATACACGACTTCCGTCCAAACTCTTATGAAGAATACTGCAAAATAGAGACGTTCGTAATAAGCAACAGAGGTAAGACAAAGAGATAAATTTAGTAATTTTAACAAAGTTATAGTTGTGATAAAACAAGAGAATATTGGAGTGGTTTTTTCGTATGAATGGGAACGTACGGCACCGACTTCCAGCACGCACAAAGTACTCAACAATCAAATGGTTTTCCGTTATTTGCGCACGAAAAACGACGCCGTCGTCTTTAGAAATCTGTCTAATGATGTAATTAAAACTTGCCATGCGCTCGGATTCTACGGCGCACATACCTAAAAAGCTTTACAACGGGTATCTCAGCATGCAGACGAATCAAATCTTCTATGCAAGACTGCAATAGTATTGTTACTTCATTTAGACTACACCCAGGTCGATCCTGTTGGTAGCAACAAAAGGAGAAAAAATAAGACCCGAAATACCAGCCGGGAAAAAAACGAACTGAATATTCAACATGGAAAAGAAAAAAGAAAAAAAAGTTTTTTATTCAATCATACCGCTTCCTTTTCTATCAAGAGATCGCAATAAAGCAAGATTGCGGCCTGTCGTGTAGCCTCTCTGTTGATTGGCTGGACACAGTCACGTGTTTCTTTGGTTTCTAACAGAAGAAAGGGTAGGTCGAAATAAATGTAGGGTCGTATAAACAAGTCAATAGAGATGTTAAAATATCTTTAAAATCATTTAATGACAAACCTTGTTTTGCGGAGGAACCTGTTTCTATTAGTTTATACCAGAAGGATGGATTGCTGAACGATAGCGACTTCAGTACCGTAGCCCAACGTAAGACTAACAGGGGATGGGTGGGGAGAATTTTGGTTAACGATGAATTGATGGCAGCTACTAATGGGTGTGGTGGCTGGCTGTTGCATAACGCAGACGTTGAAGTAGTGATTCGAGAAAAATTCTCTGAAAGGACGAAAAACATAGAATAATTTAGATGGCGTATGTGGGGTTCCTGTGTCGTTCAGTAGACAGGCAACCCGGTCAAAACTGATTAAAAATATGGAAAAAGAAATTACCTGATTTAATCATATGGGTGATTGAAAGACTCAAGCTAGAAAACTGCTTGTGCAGAAATAAGATATCAAGTCCATTGTCTTTAGCCAACATGTTGGACAGGTTCGCAATACGCTGAACAATGATGTTAACAACATGCAGAAGAAACAAGCTAAATAACTGAAACGAAACAAACGAATTTAAAACCTTTTAGCGGTGTCACGCAATCCAAATCCAATCCGTCATAGCGGTCACGCATTCCTTACATACCAACCTTATCAGATTCTTCAGCTGATACGCTGTCTCCTGGATTCTGATACTGTTCGTCCAGGGTTTCATCAACCAAGCCATTCAAAATGTTTGTTTTTATATGGATCTCTTTCATTCGGGATATTAGCTGGCCTTCACTCACGTGACCTTGTATGGTGTAGAGCAACACCAAGACCATGCTGAGCCAGCGCTCGAGGGTCAGCAGTTGGGTCTAAAAGATTGAAAACATAAGAACAAAGTAAATTAATGTAATGTAGAATGTAATGTAAAATGTAATGCAAAATGGTGATGATGGCGACGATGATAATGATACTGGAATCAACCAAAACTAGTTTAAAACGAGCGATATCACGAGTCTTACCAGCTGAATTGGCACAAAAAGTGCCTTGAGTAAGACGTCTGCAGGACGAAGAGATACAGGAGAAACTGCTTGGAACACTCCTTGCAATGCAGTAAAACCAAACTCATTCTCTACATAAATCTGTCATTACRAAACAATAGTAAGTGAAACAAAAATGGAATTTCGCCAAGGAACTTCGCATGACTAACTATCTGTGGATTACCTCTTGCTGTTGCTGCTTTCATATTTGCACCTGTTTATCATAGCCGTTGTCGTTGCTGTGTTGTTGCTGTTAGTGGTGGCAATTGTTATGGTGCTAGAAGTGATGCTTCTATTATTTGTGCAACTTTTGTAGATATTTTTGAAGTATTTACTCCAACTGTTGGCATGTCATCTTTTGTTGTTGTAGTTGTCGTACCTGCCACCGATGGTTGTAAATGTCATTGCTGCTGCTGTTATTGTCGTGTTTGCGTTTGTTGTAATTGCCGGATAATGCTTTTATTTGCTTTGTAGAAACTGTTATGGTTGGTGAAAGTTTTTCTGTTATATATTGTGATTGTCTTGTTAAATTTTACAGTGCTACTGGTTCTATATTTATTGGTTACTTATTCTAGGTGGAACAAATGAATTATTCCATGAAGTTATTTACCTGTTGTTTAGCAAGCATAGGTAACAGCATATCAATGACTTGTCTGGACATTTTCTTCCATCTGTCTTCATCTTCTCGTTGGTAGCAGTTTAGTACCATGGTCAACATCTCCAGCACCTGTTATGATAGCATAACACAACTAAGTATCTTCTCCGCTCAAATCACGTTGATTGACTACTTCATATTTTTTCTCGTTTTAGATTCAAGTACTGGCACTTTGAAGACCTCGTCTATCTATCATAATTGATATATACCTCTGCATACTGAACGAATCTCAACAGCATTGACACAACGACTTCTCTCTGGGTCTCAACTTCCTTGCCGGCGTCTGCCTTGCCTGAAGTACGCAACACGAAAAGATCGTGAACGATGGGCTGTAGAGCCGGAATGGCTGCAAAAATAAAGTAAACTTTTTATAAGTCAACTCTCCATAATGAAACGTTTGCATATCAGATGACGTTTTGGTAAGACAAGAACTTGGTTGACATGCTTTGCAATTTTTGTGTTGTTCAGACGCTTAAGGACACTTATGAAAATAGAGAAATCACAAAATAAAGAAAGTATTGCTGGTGGTAGTATTCTTGGAGAGAAAACATTTCCAAGGTCAAGACGGAAACATCAAGACTGGAGGCCATATTGGATGCCGTAAAGGCATGTGGTATACTCTGGTCTAGCTGTTTTGATGTAGAGAATAGATGTTTAAATCAAAGTCAGACCAGAATGCACCCTGTCGTGCAGATGCAATTTCAAAGAGTTTAAAGACTAAACTAACCATGCGTTTTGGCAGGTTGTCCGCTGGCCATAATACCGTCACACAGCTGTATGACTTTAGGCATTCCTACGATGGCCTTTGCTTGGTTGAACTTGGGTTGAAAGCATTCGTACGATAGCAAGACCAGGAATTGGAAAACGAATGGGAGAAAGGTATCACAGTTCCTGTAAATAAATAAAATTTACTTTGTCTTTCTCTCAGCTTACAACAAGAACACGGGTAAATGGAAATAAGTAAAGAAAATATTTTCAAAATGTTCTAAAATAAAACTAGCTCTTACTTGATTTGCCCAGCATCAACGTATTCAAACTGCTTCTGGATGTATGTGATAAAAATCTGGAACAAGTAACAAACGGCTTTCAATTTGTCATAGCTGTGATTTTCTTCACTGATGTTAAAAATATGAACAGCTCTGATCATGTGGCGATGGAAAGGTGATAATGGTGTTGATGATGATGTCCATAATGGTGAAGATGACCATGTTGCTTTTAATGGAGAGAAACGAAACGAGAGGAGGGAGGAGAGGAAAGGCAAGTGGTAGCATGGCAGCAAGCAAAAGCAGAATTAAATTATATGTTGGGGGACTTGACGAACTGCTTTTGGCTGGTAGTAGAATTAGGGACATCAGTATCGTTGCACTGAGCTATTTTTTTTTTTTTTTCATGATATAATGATCCCAAGTTGAAAATACGAATTGACATTTACTTTGAAGATGCAAGGAAATACTCACTTGGTCGGCATCAAGAAGAGCATAGTTCACTCGTAGCTTGACCAGCTGTGCCAACAGACTGAGCACTTGTTGTTGCAGTGTGACAGAAGTACTGATAGTGAATTCCTTGAGGGCCCGTATCACGAGTGGTTCGAAGAGACGAATGAATAAATGGATGGGTGATTGCTGGAAAAGAAAAGAGGATTAGCAAATTCCTGTCTAATGTATTAATGCATAATGCAATAAAGTGAGCCTATTGCCTCATCACCAGAATCCCTTGCACACTTTATTTTGTTCAGTTAATTAGCACCAACTGTCTTAGGACTTTCATTAAAAAGATAATCAAAGATTTCTTGGTGTACCTAATCTTTGATTTGTAGGTACCTACCTTATCTATCTTGACAGCCGGGGGAATTACTGAACCCGTTCTCCTTCGGATTTTCTTGAAAAAACTCCCAATTCCCCTGCAACATAAAAAATTCCTTCGTTAAAAAAAAAGATGTTGACAAGAAAAAATATCAGCAACAAGAAGTTAAATGACAACCTTTTAAGTGAACTTTCTGATTCTTCTTCCTTGTGAACCATCTTCTCGATGGATTGTAGGTACTCCCTTTGAGGCAGCTCGAAACAGTCATAGTACAAACCATCGCCACCATCATCTACATACTCTGTTGTCATGGATACGGGTAAGGAGATGAGAGTGTCCCCTAGGCAACCAGGGTAAACGGGTGTATGTGCGTGATCGGGTTGAGAGACAGCATTGATGCCGAACATTGCGCGAAGAAGCTGAATAGAAAATTAAATATAAAACGTCATTTAGCGAGCGATTACTAGAAATGAGACTCGTGGTTAATCAATGACCAATGAAAATGCTTACCTGTTGCACACATAGGAAGGTTTTGCAAGGCTCTACTTTAACACAGACTAGTAGATAACCAAGAATTTCTTCGACATGCTGATACAATAATAAGTTACAATAAGTGTTCGTTATCATTTTCCCTAAGGGTTCTAGTGTTTCAGTGCCCATGAAACAAGGGCCACGGGTTTGCTAGTTATGTAGACACGAAGTGCTAAATCTTGAAGCAAAAATCAATTAACAGAAAGACAGACAGACTCATTAATTTGACCTATAAAATGGTTTACCTTGCCAATTTCTTGAAATGAGGAAATTTCCAGGAAGTGAGAGAGTACACTCAAAGTGCAACGAAGAAAACTGGTAAATTTGTCTTGCAAAGCTTTTGAGAGTGTCACCTGAAGAAAAAAAGGTTTATTAGATTTGTCAATAAAAGGTCATATTTGATACCGTAGACATGTCAAAAGCCAATGACATCTTTTTACAACATCTTTATGACCACCACTACCACTATCATCATCATCATCATCATCGGTCCACTACCATCATCGGTCCACTACCATCATCGTCATGACCACCACCACTATCATCATTAAAAACACCAACGACGACGACGACGAAAAAAACTGCAACAAAATTAACGATAATGCAGCATTACGACAAAGAAACCAACCTGGTAGTTTTGAAACGTTCCTTTAATGACTTCGTACAGCTTCATGTAGTGTGGTAAGTTATAAAAGGTACCAATGTTACTCTTAGGGGGAGGACCCTGATGATGCTTTTGCTCGCCATCAGGACCCTCTCCTCCACTCCCTGCCTTGGTAGGTGATTTATCGGAACTCGGTAGATCTGCTTCGGACAAAGCTCTCTTAGACTTGAGAAGTCGCTTTGGCACAGCTGAGACGGGTTGGGTTGGTGTTGTTGACGAGGAGGAATGGGGTGAGGCATGGGATGCACCCCCAGGGGCAGAGGGTTGGGATGATTTGTCCTTGCTTTGTCCTGGAAATGAAAGCTGAAAGACGAAAATAAGTCCCGTTAATTTGAAGTCTAAAAAAGGAACGGGAATGCTAAACATTTTCTATCTACCTTGAATGAATGTGCTCCAGGAGTAGCTCCATCTATTACATGGGCAAACACGTTCAAAAGTCTAAAAGTAACAACGACAAAACTTTCAATCAAACCGAGCCACATACAGTTGGCTTTAAAATGGACCTTGAGAGATTCAAAGCAGATTCGATTCTTTGGGGTGCATGTAATGTTATATCCGCCATTTTGGTTGACTTTGACAAAATATTTTGCCTTAGTGTCTTATGTTATGTCAACCAACATGGCGACCACGTCATTGGTCCTTATATTCTGATGGAAAGGGACGGACGCAACCAATAGTTAAAATATACCGCTTTACCTTATCAGATGTGCGATCAATTTTTCAGCCAAAGGACCAACTGCAGTGTCGCTGAACACGTTCCAAGCCTCAGAGCTGCCGGCATGTGTTGAATCTTCTGTTTGATGGCTGATTTGTGATTTCAGGGAAACATTGATGCCTGATGATGCAACTCCGAGAAATAGCTGCCCGGAAAGCTACAATAAAACACCAAAACAAATGAATACTAGAAATACCTTCAAATATGCATTGACCGAGGCCAAGAACGGCCTCTTAGGACTTATGGATGTGCGAGTATGTGTTGCATGTTGGATGATGTACACGAAAACAAATTGCACTCCTTCCAACATGGCAGCTATTTGGTCACACTAAAGCCCAAAAAATACTTAAAGTTAACTATGGTACATACTTGCAATAGATTCTGATGGGCGATGAGGTCATAGGCGATCCATGATGACGTCACATTACCAACAACCAATGAAAGCGGACCACCTCCCCCTGTACAACATATGCTGGGACTCCCAGGTCGAGGAGGGGCGTTAGTGCTGGAAAAATGAGAGGATATAGGGCTACTGCAATGCACTGCTACAGAACAGCCCCAGGCCGCCGGGTATGAGGCGATGGGGTAGGCCTGGGCCAGAGAATGAAGAAGGTGGATACAGCCAATCTGGGAGAAAAGATTACCATAGTAACGTCAGAATCAATGTCAACGTAAGCAAAGCAGGTAATAGAAAGGACCTACCGTGCGGTATTTGGAAGTGGAATGATTGAGGATTTCTGTTGTCATGGCAACGAYTTTTGACAAGCTGTGGAGGATGGTAGCTTGTGAATGAAGCGAAGATGGCTGGCTACCTCTGTTGTCGCTGTTTTTCATTTTTAATTCATCTAAAATGTACATTAGTAAAAAGGAAGGAAACTTAAGTACCGTGTAAAAACGTGTGTCACTACATACTGACGTTTCACGTCAGTCCTTCGTTGGACTAAAACATTACATTGGTATTTTCATGAATAAGGCATTATCTAACTTCATTACGTATTGACATTTTGCTTCTTCACTTGGCTTTTCTCAGTACACAARCCTTTCTTGGTCTTAGCCTTTCTTAGATACGAGTGAACCAGCTAAAAAAATCTCACGAATCTTGTTACTAGCCTTTGGTAATAGGCAAACCATCGCTCTCCATGCTAAATCATCCAGGTACATCTTTATTAAAACCTTTCCTTTCAGCTGGTAAAAATTCCAAACGGAACCCGAAAATTTCTATTGATAGCAACAAGTGTACAACTCTTGACAATCCTCATAACAGCAAGCTCAAACAGCTAGACCCAATTAAATGTTTTTTCACTAAATTTCTATCGAACACTTACCCACACTATGCGAGACTACTTGTACAATGGCCTGTTGCCTTGGATCTCCTGTGCTCAGCAGTAATTTTGGTACAAGTCTGAAGGTAAAATCAACAAAATATTATTCAATGATCAACTGTCATAGAGTATCTTTATAAAGACGGTACTTACTTGACACAGCATTTTGCTGCAGCATGTCTTACGCGGCCATCGTCATCATCAAGTGATGAAAACACTACGTCCTTCAGCAGAACGTCCTGGATACTCAGATGCTAAGAAAAAGCATCATTATTTCAATATTATCATCCATACATGATTCAAAGTTTAACCGTGCACAAACCCTCTTTATAACTCGGAATTAGTTGGTTGGTTCAAACATTTGATGGTTGGCCTTTGATGGTTAAAACAATCGTCTCAATTTTGTGAACGTATCTACTGCCTAGCGGGTGCCTAGATCCGTCCACGTATTACACAAACCTATTCATATCAACATAATGACTGGATGGTCAAAAACTAGCATACAATACAGAAACTAAATATCTTCTCACATTTAAAAGAGTATCCGTTTTGCTATCCGATTGGAAAAACTTGTTCGCCTCCAAGTACGTTATCAGCCTGAAATACAAATGACTTGGCTTTCAAAATAAACATCATTTATAAGCTTATAAGTAAGGATCATTCTTTACCTTACGTCTATCACTTCTATGAGCTCCAACAGTTCAACCTAATTTAGAAAAAAGATAAATCGCTAGGCATTGACCATAGAGCAAAATTTGAATGACTGAAAAGAAGGCTATAGGGTATGGCACGAAAAAGAAGACATTGTACCAATCATAGAATATGCTTGTCACGCCATACAGCACAGTTGCGTGACGACATCCGTTGAAGAGATCAATATTCTTCCTATGAAAATATAACTTCCTATGAAAATATAACTCGACGCGTGTGCGTTACAGCTGTTTTACTGTGAGTGGAAAACAATACGGAAAATTCTGGTCATTCTGAAGCCCAGCGTTATAATTGGATAAATTACAGGTATTACGGTATGTCGAACCAACTATGTGCTGTAAGTCAGTACCATATGATTCCCACTCGCACCAAAACCACTCTATGTTTTTCAAAGGCATGCAGAATCTACTCCATATGAGCAAAATTGTCTGGTGTATAATGTACAAGTAAATAAAATAGTAAGCCTTACCTTGATAAGCCAGTAAGATTTTTTCCTTAGTTGCACTAGTATATCGATAAGATCACGAACTAAATGGCAGTGAACACTTCGACACAGTGAAGCAAAACAAACCTGTAGGTTGAAATAGAGTGTCAGTCTTTGGACTAGGTCGATATAACTAGATTATTTTATGATATATAATAGATATACAATAGTTTGGAGTGGCATTCCATACAATATCCCACGAAACACTTGTATTTTTATTGCTGGCGACTGTGAACACAAAACACGATTAAATACAACTGGCAAGTGGGATGTCTACTTTGGTAATTAATCACAAGAAAGCATTGTATATGATTATTTTATCCCTGGATGCCATGCCATGCCATACCAACCCATACCATCCAATCCCATCCTATACCACCCCAACACATCCCGTTCCATCCCGCCCCATCCCATACCATACCATATTATTCCTTACCACCCCATCCCAATCCATCTCATCCCATACCACCCCATACCATACCATACCACCCCATCCCAATCCATCTCACCCCATACCATACCATACCACCCCATCCCACCCCATCTCACCCATTACCATTCTATCCCACCCCACACCCACCCCATCCCATCCCATACTTAAAATTTACCTTGAGAGCAGAACAGGCCTGTCTGATGGCAACAGGAGAGTCATCCTGTAAGATGCATCCAAACAGTGATAACAGGCTCTCGATACTCAATACAGCTGGAAGACCAAGTTATAGAAACGTGATCAGGTCAGAACCACCCTAACATGCATATCGATTTACTATAAATAAAGTAGTAGCGTGGTTTTTACAAATCGTGCATTCTCATTRGCTAAGCTACCAGTGGTCTATTTCTCATCGTCCATTGTAGAGAAAATGGTAGTTTTTGAATTTCAAAGTCTTTGAAACGTTGAACGTGGCTTCAGCAGCCAGCAATCTCGTAAGTATATAATTATATCTACTATAAATATATTTGAGGCACAAAGATAGTCTTTTCCTCTGGAAACCGAATTCTTTTTCTATAAACCAGATTAGAGCAGATTCCATTGTTCCGGCCTCCTGTCATGGCTGCTATCACGTGTGTGAGTGTGTGCACTGCACTAACCTGTGTTATATTCATTACAGCACTTTTCACTCCAACCGTTAAAATCCAAGCTAGAATATGGAAAATAGAATAGAATAGAGATATAAAATATTGGCCATTTTGAAGGCCTCTTCTAATACAAGTTCAGTGCTTAAATTCCGGGAAAAATCAAAATTAAGCCTTGTCTTTCAAGAAGCCGGTTCAAAAATCATCCAATCGTGCTCATGGATGGTGAGTAATTTTTTTACTTTTTAACTGATCCGCCAACACAAAAAGTTACGTTACTTCATGCAAAATATCTCCAAGGTACGAAGGTAAAAAGTTTAATTGAAAAACAGATTTGATTTTTTAAAAACTTCGAATTCCCCCCTTACCCACCCCTGTGCAAAAATAAACAAACAAACAAACAAAAAAGGAGCCTCACCTTCCTTTCTTTAGACCTGCAGCAATAAGAATACTCAAAACAGACCCAAGACCTCCTCTTAGCTGAGGATCTGGATGAGCATTAAAGAGTAGTACATCTCTTACTAACTGGACATCACGGTGGTGCTGTCCTGCACTTTCACCATGATCCGGTAAAACGCCAACTAAAAATGCCTCAGGATGGTGGCGAACTGCCTGAGCTATGCAGGACATGGCCAGAGACTTGACACTAACACGGACATTAGAGTCCGGGAGAACTTCCCCCGGGCGACCCGATAGTAAAAACGAACACATGACACGGACAATATGTACCATGGGGACCCCTGCACATGCAACAGCATCAATCTCAAAGCTACTCTCAACAAGTATACGAACGTCTTGGGTTACTATAGATTCTGTTCTTAGGGGTTCGACTTCTTGATTTAATTCTCCTAAGTCGTCGCATATTCGATCTTGCTCCTCGATCGGAAGGTCGTCGGGAATTTCCGTCTGAAGACTAGCGTCAACTTCCGTTTCACTCACAGCTTGACTAGAGTCATCTTCTTGGACGACCATTCCTGGATCTGATAACGATCGTCCAATTTTTGGACCGGGTAAGATACTAGATTTGTCTTCATTATCATCACTTTCCATCACATCTTCGACCGACTGCAAATCGGGTGACGAAGAATCTCTAGCGACACGTAACTCTCTGACCCGATTAGACAAGTCGTCAGTGGATTCGACGGAAGACAAATCGGTGGCTGTCGTACCAACCGAGGCGGTATCTTCATGGGACTTTGTAGATTCATAATCAGATGTTGAAGTAAAGTCTGTATTGGATTCGCTCTCGAGGTCAGTTTCAGTGGGTGCAGTAGATGCGGTGGACGCTGTTTCAAGGTCTCCTACGGCTGAATCATGGTCACCTTCAAGGTCTTCTGTGAAAGCAATAACTTAAAATCATAAGCAAGTACTGCGGATCAACGGCACTCTATAAGGGGACAAAGCATGCAAGCGGAAGAGCAATAGCCCTATCTGTCCATTCCTCTTCATGGTCTRTGAAAAAGGGGTCATTGTAAGCCCTTACTCAATAGCACAAATGCAGTGCTACCATTGATCACACCACCTTTATATCAGAGGCTATAGAGGATGTGGTTGACCCCTTAAAGGTGACAGAACAAAAACGTCCTTCTTGTACGACTATAACACTTATGGTCTGTGGCTAAAATACTTTAAGGCTTCATTTTAAATTTAAATTTAAAGTTGAAGTGTTAATTTTTGTGGTCGGAGGATATTGGAGAACATCGAGAAAGACCCTCAAATCACAAGAAACAACCAATGAGCAACATGATGTGGTACAAGGATCCAATCCACAACCATAGAAGTAGGAACTGGTGTGTTTGCTGCTCACTTGTGCTTTCTCACATAGTGTTTAACAAAGATTACACATTTATGCCGATGAATGAAAACTGTGAGTACGATAACCAACCTAAATCGCCCCACTTCAGATGGTACGCAAGTGGTTTGTGATCCTAATGTGTCCTTTAGCCCTCTGATCCAAACCTATCCCTGGAATACAAAACCTACCAGTTGCTGGCGTATCTGGTTTAATTGTTGGTGTGATCCCATCATGAGAGAGCAATACTTTGAGTAAAGGGGATGGTGGAGTACGAAGTAGTTGATTCAGTGTTTCCAGAGCTGCGTTGACTACATTGTGGTCAGTGTGTTTAGTGCATTGCATCACCACCTCGTAAATCTAAACGACATAAACAATTACATAAATTAGGAAAATAAATATAAATAAATAAAAACAGTACATCGAAAATAAGGTCCATGTTCCTGACAAGAATAAGAAGCAGAGATACAAGTCATTCCAGCTATTCTTGGATCTTGGAATGACCTATCGCTTTCCACCAATTGCCTTTGGCGATGACAACGTTTTTTGAAATAGGTGTATGCAATATAAGATAATGGAAAGCTGTCTAACATTTATTGTGTTGCACTTGGAAACTTCTAAAAAAGCCCTCAATATCATAATACACTCATTTTGTTGATAAGTACCAACAAACACAGCATGACAACAGGAAAAATGCCCCAGAAAATTCCTACTTTTCCCAATCATGATGATGACAGTGCTGTATTTTTGTACCTGTAAGAGCTGTTTAATGCTGACTCCTTTGTGGTCTTCACCAGTTTCACCTATGAAGCTTCTTTGAGATCCAAAGCTACCTTTCATGATATCTTCGGACAAGAATGATTCATTCAAATGGGGGACCAATTGACGAATACAGTTGAGGACACCCAAGTACACTGGTGTTGGCTTGACATCTTGCAAAGGCAATACCATTCCTGGATAATAAACAATAATTGTCACTTGTATGACCATTGCGAAAAAGCTATTATAATTTTTGTTTTTGCAAAAATTCAAATTTACAAGAGCAAGAGACAATAAACTAATAAAAATGACTTTGCTCTTCGTGCAGTTGCCAAAAAAAGGACTATTGAAAATCTAACAACAACAACAACAACAATCGTGTTTATTTAGTACCTGCTGTGCTATATAATATTTACAAATAAATACGTTATATTAAAAACCTCAATAAAGGTACATGCTATCTATAATAACCACAAGGGCTAGCCGAGATAGATAGCCAAGAAATGATAAAAGAGTTTGATGGGCCAAGTTAAGGGGAGCACCGAAGTTTTGGGAATTCTTCACTTTAAAGTATTTTCCTTTACTCAATCTTCCCAGTAAGTGTTTTTATGTTTTTATCATGGTATTTTGTCAAAAATGTTTGCCCTCCTTTTCTTACATCTGGCCCTGATTAATCTGCAATATATGTGAAAATCAGAATATCACAGTTACACTAAGTAGACACAATTCATTGCCAGAAACAAAAGAAAACCAATAAAAAATACATGTCAATCTTTGGATAATGCTTGAATTCCATATGAAGCCTACCCAGTAAAATGTTAATAAGCCATTCATGAAACATGCTTGGTTTGCGAGAGTTTTGACAGATAATGACAAGAGATGAGGCTGCTGTACGTCTTGTTGTGGCTTGTGCCGACTTTAGGTTTGGTATGAATGCTTTCAYCAGTTGCTAAAATTATATGGAAATGGTAAGTCTTTCATAAATATTATGCATACAAAAAATTCCAACTCAATTGTAAAATGCTCATAAATACTCAAAAATTCCAAACCTTAATTTCAGTATCACTTGTAAAGCTACCAAGAACAGGGAGTATTTTCTGCATTGCAGTAGCCAATGCTTCCTATCAATAAAAAAAATATATATATACATTTTTAAAACTCTTCTTAAATCATCAAATGAATTAACTCTTACTATAAATAGAAAGCAAACTACCTGTAATGATTCTTCTGTGCGAATACAAATTCTGCCTAAACAAGGCAGTAAATTGGCAACAAAAGGTCTGTAAAGACAAAATATATTTTTTTTTATTACATCTTGTTTGATAAATCCAACTGAATACCACACTAAGTTACGACTTATTTAATTTCTTATTTGTAATTTG